AAAAACTAAAATCAGCTCATCATCGTCTAGAGTCCAATTCGGTGAAGCTTTTACTTGGGGTATTTTTCAAGATTTTCTTTTTCCTTGTAATGATCTTATAGATGAATATGGGTACTTGATCAAAATACCGATGAGATATGCATTATTTAATATTTTTACTCATTTAAAACTATTCAAACATCTGATCATGTATTTTCATGAGTATTTCGTAATTAAATCAAAGGATAATGGGTAACATGTTAAATAGTTTATATCTTATGATTTTTTTGATAAATTTCCCGATGAATAAAGATGAGTGGAAAGGGTTTCGAAATTTCTTGAACATGGTGTTTTGTCCATTTTTTAAAAACATGGATTAGTGAGCCGGATTGCCCGGAAAATCCGTTTGGATCACCAATTTCTAAAACATTGGTTTTGCCAACGGGAGCACGTCCCGAGGGAGTCAAGTACAAAAACCAAAAAAAATTGTCCACAAAATTGACTCTCTAGTTTCTTTCTTAGTCATTTTGAATTCTCAATTTCACCGTGAAATTATTTAGAGGATGGGAGAACATCCACCATCCGATTTCTTGATAGACGGAGGAGGTATGTAGTTCTAGGTAAACCTCCCTCACGGCATCTGCAATTCATATCCATGGTTTGTCATGGAAAATAAATGGTGGATGCACTTCTTCTTTACTGCATACACAAGCACGTGATGTGTATTTTGAACACGATAGTATGCTTGGCCTTAACTAATGTCCTTTTGACCATTGGTGCATGGATAGCGATGGGGTACCATGCATCTGCTTAGAAAGGATAACATGCAACACCAATATGTAGGGTTAAGGAAGATGGCCCAATTATCATTTTACAATTTTTCTTTTGATACTGCTCAGATGATTTATGAGCATGGCTGGGTGATTTTTTAATCACTGCTCATCATCATCACACGAGCCTTATTCAAATTATTTGGGGCCTGCTACATAAATCATGTTTCATTATGCCACTCTATCAAGGACCACACCTGTTGGGTTTATATGGCCTTTAAAAGCTTTATGAGTGTGTAATGAAAAACATTTATTATATTAGAACATAAACTCAATAGCAGTGTGATCTCTCGAAGACTATATTAAGTAGATGATATTTACGGATACCGGACTGTGCTTGACAATCTAGGGTAGTCGGTTGGAAAACCCAAGGTACCTGAGCATAAAACATACAACAAAAAGGGTTTTTGGGTTAGCCCTTGATGAGGTTGGAGTTTATGCCTAGATGAGTGGGTCGAGGAACTGTGTGACCCTTATATATGATGGTAGTCCTACAGAGACAGAGGCCAAAACCTCATCCATGTTCCATCACACGACATGCATATAGATAGATCGTTCGAGAAAGCTAGATATCCACATTTGGGTGAAGCATATGCATGTGCGAGAGATACCCCTATGCGCCACAGAGCTGTGGTCGCATCAGGTCATGGTGACCTTGATTTGTCTCTAGGAAAGGACTTGTAATCCACAGACTGAGGTTGCGACTCTTTGGCTCATCGACTAGACGTTGATGACCCGCTAAATGAGCACCTGCTTGGATTGTTGGTCATGGTAAACACTGGGTCGGTTCGATAAAGCAAGTGTGGTTTGTAGTCCACAGTTGAAGGTGGAGTTCCCCGTGATCGTTGATTGAATTCTTGAACCATATGGATCCACTTCCCATCATATTAAATTTAATTATGTTCATTTTATTATTAAAATTATTTTAAATTTATTATTTGAATTTTTATAAGTCATTTGATTTTTTTGTTTCTTATTTTTGGACTTATAAAAATGAAGTTATTAATATACAAAGTTATAATGTTTTAAAATTCATTTTGTTTAAATTTAAAATATTTATTGAAAAATACATGGGGACCCATAGTGCACATGGGCCCACCATGTGGGTATTAAGTAGGGCCCTACATACCATACATGGGTGGCACGCCCCACACTTGGATACCTTCTCTGGTTACTTTGTCTTCAAGTTTATTAAATATGGTAACTATATCTTGTAGTACATGGTTAAATATTGATTAGGAAATATTGACCATATCTTATCTTGAAGGAATATCATGACTTGATATTATTGAAATATTCTTATGGAAAATATGAGATGGAATATGCAATTTATGGTATGCACTATATCTTTAATGGATTTAATTTATTTAAATATATTGATGGGAAAATAGTTTAAGGAAAGGGGGATAATGGTTCATATACCTTCCATAAGGTTGATGGCCCATCTATGGAATGGATGGCTCAGATATCTCACCCCACAAGTTACCTTGATCAACGGTCCATATTCAATCTAAAAAAAAAACAAACTATGGGAAACTCTAAAAAAACCCTAGACCTAAATTTCACTATAAATAGGGGTGCTCTCCCCTCCCTCATCTCTACACATCTCTCTCCCATAAACTCTCTCTTCCCTCTCTCTTCCCTAGGGGCCACGCTCCTCTCTCTACTATCTGATTTTCTCTCTCTCCTAAAAAGACCCTAAGGGGACACATCCCAACATAGAGTCTCTCTCTCATGATCTAATTTAAGGGTTTGAGCCTAATTATTTTAGAGATTGAGTATTTTTCTCATGATCTAATATAAGGGTTGGAAAAAAAATTAGGGTTTGAGCTTAATTATTTTGGAGATAAAGTCTCTCTTATTATCTCATCTAACGGTTGGGAAAAAAATTAGGGTTTGAGTCTAATTATTTTGGAGTTAGGATTCTTTAGAGATTTAATGGTGGTTATCTAGTTTGGCCGAAATTAGGTTTTTCGATTCGAGATTGAAGCTAGACCGCTGATCTTGCGCCATTGGATGTGGTGACTCAGTGTGGGGTGTAAAAAGCTCAATTGAGGTAATTTCCGGCATCTTTTTTTTAATTGTTTGTTCTTTTATTTTATATTCTCAAGCACAATAGTAGGTTGTATGAATGACATCAAATAGTTGAGATTTATTTTATTGATGTGTTATTTATTTATTTATTTTTACAAATTTCTACTGTTTGTAATAAAACCATCTGTGAGTAATATTGTTACCGAAATTATAATGGGTGACTATTATTAAAAAAAAAAAAAATTGTATTTTCCTATCAAAAGATTACATAGGGCTTTCTTTCAACAACCTCACATATAATTAATAATTGTAAATGCGTCCATGTTGCTCGAGCTTTCATTGTTTCTTATCACTCTCTTTAGTAGATAGTTATTAGCCCAAAAAAAACACGAAGCGAATTCCTAACAGTAATGCAGTAACGGTACAGACCAATGTCGAGAAACAAGGACCTGGGCTTGGACTCGAAACTAAGGGACTTGGACATGGTGAGATTCACCAAATTTTGCTGTTTTTCATTCAGACTTGTCACCCAACCTTGGATTGAGCAGCAAGGCCGAGTCTGAGCAAAAGTTGCCATTTTTTTATCACTAATATGTGCCCATCTTAGTATAATACACATAGCGGAATCGCATCAGCTGATAGACCATGAGAGTGAAGATGCAGATCTCCGATTCAGATTCCATCTTAGCATTTAAAGAGGAAAAGCAGCAAAGAGAGAATTTAATACAAACCATGCCTAGGATGCACGTGAGGCTTTAGTTTTATACAATACTAGTAATTTGCACGTGATATTTAATATTAATTACTGAAATATATTTATCATTGAAAATTTTTCAATAAAACATGGTCTTAGATAGAGAGAAATTAATGTATCTATTTAAAAAGCATGAACATGAGAAATAATTCAGATATATTATTATTCATAAAAAAGACTAAATGTGACCAAAAGATTTTCAATATTGTTGTAAATAGAAGAATCATGAGGGATGTAGTGCAAATGAAAAATAGTAAAAAAAAGATAGAAGAGATGGAATGACAACATATCAGTTATGAATAATTTTTAATAATTCAAAATTCATAATTAGAAAATAATAGATATTCAAATATCTCAAAAAAAAAAGAATCAAATTTTATATATGCTAAATCACAATAAAAAATATAGTATTGTCATTAAAAAACTAATGTATTGTTAAAATAGTCATAAAAACTTTTAAAATATAAAATTTATAGTTAAAATACACAAAGGTCAAAATTGAGATAGAAAAAAATTATTATTATTATTATTATTATTATATTTTTATCTTCTAAGGCAAAGCCTGTTGATATTGAATACTAAAGAAAAAGGATTATTTTTCTTTGTGATTTTTATGTTAAATGATAAATCGATTTTGTTTCTATCTCAATTTTGCCCTGTAATTTTGTTTTACAATAAATAATTAAAAAAAATACAAAAATACACCTAGGAAATAGCAAGAGAAAGCTATTATTGTCATAAAAAACTAATGTAATGTTAAAATATTCATCAAAAACTAAAATTTAACAAAATTTAGTTAAAATCATAAAAGGTGACATTTAGATAAAAACAAAATTGATATAATCTAACTTAAGAATCAAGAAGGAGAAAAAAGAAAAAGAGAATGGGGTTGGATCACGGTGGTAGCATCACTTGCCCAACTAAGGTCTAGGCTTAAGCTTCCATTCTCACCAAATACATTAAGAAACCACTAACGATTTTAAAAAACGGGTGAGGGCTCTTCATCCCCACTGAAGAGATGAGCAAATAAATGAATTTGAGAGGGAGAGAAAAATATATTGTTTTCTCGTAAGATAATATGGGGTATGATAGGCTTTTGGGCTAGGGCATGAGGGTTTATGGTAAGAGAGGACGGAAGAGGTTTTTCCTAAAAAGATATTTTGAGAGGGAAAGATTGAGAGATAGATTAATGGAGAAAGAGATGAAATATTATAGGAGAGATTTACGATGGGAGTTATCACATGGAGAAAATAAAGAAAGAGACCGATGAGAGAGACCTTTGAGAGGAAGAGATTTTAGGAAAATAAATAAAAGAGAGATTTTATGAAAGAGGGGGAGAGAGAGAGAAATGGTAGAGTGGAAGATAAGATGATATAAATATAGGAGAGATAAGATATTTTAAGAAAATAAATAGGAAAGAGATTTTAGAAAAGAGGGGGAGAGATATAGAAAGGGTAAAAAAGAAAAAAAAGAGATGATATAAATAAGAGAGAGATAAAAGAGAATTTAAGAAAGATGTAAGATATTTAAAGAAATGTGTAAGGGGGAGGGAGGGAAGGAGGGAGGGAGAGAGTGAGAGAATGGTGTGGGGTGGGGGTAGGGGAAGGGAGGAATGGCATTAGATAAAAAAAAGATTTATTTTGAAAAAAAAAAAATATGACACATGGCAGGAAAAACATACGGTGGCTTAATAAATATATAATAAATAAAATGCACCAAAGGTGTTCAGGCTTTATTGAGTAACCTAGTGGGAGGACCCAAACCATAAAAGGTATACGGTTTTGAGTACGAAACATGGTATGCCTAAGCGTATGCGCTCTAATTCGAGAATTTCTCTAGTGTTTACCCTTCATTTCTTCACCTGCGTCCACCTTTAGTTATTTCATCCGGAAAATAAAATAAATGATATTTATTCCTCATACAAAACACTCAGAAAAAACATGGTACACGAAAATAATTAGTGGAGGCCGAGAAGAGAAAAGAAAAGAAAAGCAAAGCAAAGCAAAGCAAAGCGTTATAGGATCCTCTCCAAAAGAGAGGGCAGCCTCCTAAAGAAATTCAAAATGGGAGTAGGCATTGTATCCCTAAACATGGGGTGCCTCAAATGATAGAACCCCCAAGCCATGGCCACCATCTTCACAGGCACCACATAAAGCAAAATAGAGGCCAAGAAGCAAACCCCAACAAAAATGGCAGTGGCTCTAGGGTCTCTCCAACTCATCAAACCCTGGACCCTCTCACCCTGAGAAGCCAAATCACCGAGCAAACCCTGAACCCTAGCCCCCAAAATCCTAACTCTATCATACCTAACCCGAACCAATTCGTTGGGCCTCTGACTAGGTACCGTGTCGAACTCTTCGTCCAACTCGTCCGAGTCAATCGTCTCCGCTTGTGAAATCTTGGGGCACATCCCCTGAGGGCCACGTGGCCGGAACCGGTAGCCCCATGTGGCCATTGCACAGACGTAGAGCAACAAACTCGGAAATATCAGGTCCGGGAACCATACGAGCAAGATGAGGAGCACGTGAACCAGTCCTGTGGTAAGTGGGTTGCGCCAGGTTCGCACACCCTCGAGCCATCGAGCCACTCTCGCGAGATCGGCCAGCGAGCCCATGGCTCGGTTCCAGTTGGCCCGACTCCTTCGCATGCTCCATGTGTTTGACTCGGTATCCAACAAAAAACGAACCACCTCCTGACCCATCGGTGGCTCGGCTCGAGCTAACCGAGTTGCCACGATCTTCATGGCCGTCACCCTGAGCCCCTCTTGTTGGGCCACACCTATAGGCCTCAAATAATGCATACGAGGGAGCAACGGTTGCCCGTACGACTGAAGGACGTCCAGAATGCTCTCGCACGTGAAACGAACGGCAAGATTTATCTCACCCATCCGTTTCACACCCGAGGGCATCAATATGAGCAATGGATACGCATTTGTATACATCATATTCATCTCAAGCGTAGACAGCCGTATACGAACTTTCCCTATGCAAATGTCGGGCTTGGGCTTGGGCTTGAGCTCTAGGTCATTGGGGCCCTCCGATTGTGACACGTGGCAGTTGTCAAATACACCGATGGTCAGAACTGTGCAGGGGTCGAAGACCTGCCAAGTATACTGCTCGTTCCATTTGGGGCCGAGGTTGTCTGTGATGGTGCGGGTGCGGACCCATTTGCGGCCGTACTTAGCGACACAATAGGCGTCTGCGCCGCCGCGGCCGGCCTTGGTCTTGACGGGGAGGAGATTGCGGCACGAGACAATGCCGAGCTCCAGGGTGCCTACGGGGGGCTTCCAAAGTTGGCGGGCCGTCGGTCGAAAGTCACTGCATAGGTGCGCTGCCTCATCCATCACATGGTACCTGCCGTCGGATCGGTGTTTTTTTAAACATTCAGACGTAGCCAAAGTACCAAATCTATTCACATTCTCACAATTTTGAATGCTAAATGTCGTAAAGCGTCAGTAGTGGGTTAACAATTTTTTTAAACTATTAGTAGTTTTCTAAAGAGACTAGCATCGGTAGGAATGGAAATTAAGATCAGTAACTTAGTTACCAGTAATAATAAGGAAAATTGTATGTGTTTGGTATAAAACATATATTTTTATGATGGGTGCAAATGGGCCGTCCTTTCTAAAAAGAAGTTGAAACAAAAAAGTCTAAATATTTTTTCATAAATTATCTTTTTCAGTTTTTTTTTTTTGTTTGCATATCATGATCTTCATGTGAGAGCTTATATATTCCTTATCGATTAGGTCCAAAATCCATGGTAAAAATGGATTTTTAAGAGGGGACTCATTTCTACAATCGTAGGAGACATAGAAATGGTGTACTAATAATCATAATAATAACAATAAATAGTACATAAAATAAAATAAGAATTTAAAATTAACAAAAAAAAAAGTGACCAAAACAACCCAACTAAGACACAAAAGACGAGAAATATAGGCAAAATGGTTGATAGGTGGACGGGCACCGAGGCATCACACGTCCGTCTTAAAGATGGATGTGGAGTTTTGGCTATCCAAAATCATTGGTTTAAAATTCTTCTTAAAATATTGTTTTCTTTTGTTTCTAGATTTAGTTATTTTTACAGGTTCATGTTCTATATACCTAAAAATTAGGTCCAAAATCTATCTAAAAAATGGACCATGAAGTGGGGATGCATATCTAAATAGGACTCATGAAAACGTCCAAATAAAAAACCAAAATGTTAGCCTCACCCGCCATCGAAGCACAAGCGTAGATGTAATCGTCCCCTGTAGCTCCTCCCCTCGCCGGACTCCTCCAAATTGAACCACCTCGAAACCACTTTCCGGTCATCCACCCTCCTCTCAATCGCGGTAAGCGGTATCCTGGCCACTCCCAAAACAGTTTTCTCATTCCCCGAGCGGTTTTCCAGTAAGAAAACCAGCTGCTCCTCAAATGGCTCTGCCGCCACGAACATCAAATCCTCGTTCCAAGAAAAGACCCCACTCCTGCTCGTCGAGACCCTCGTTTTCAGGACCTGGAATCCCAGCTGTCCCCTAACCGTGAAACTCCCTTGAAAACCTCCCGGAAAATCGCTTTCACTTCCAAAACCGGTATTCGGGAGGTCCTGGGCCTCCAAAACCGTGGCCCTCAAATACCACAGTTTAGGCGAAAGGTAAACTTTTGCCGGGGAAGCCACGTCAGAGTGCCACGCGTCGCGAAATGATTCGTCAGCCTGGGTCCCGAGCCAAACTGCGAGCATGACGTCACCATTCTGGGCTCCACCACCCTCCAGCCTGTACCACTGTGGGGCCAGTGGGCTATCGGGAGGGACACGTGTCGGGATCTCCGAGAGGTCGAAGCATAAGCCTCCCAGGAAAGTTTCGGATTTCGACGATATTTCGGACGAAAATTCGGCGAGGTCCCAGGACGAAATTTCGAGGGCGGATGCGGTCTCTATGGCCTCGCGCCCGAAGGCGAAGGTCTCCTCCCACTCGTGGAAACCGGTTCTCCGGGCCGGTTTCGACCGGACCTGGTAGCGGCCCACTCCGATCCGGACGAAGGGAAATGTGGCAACTGGTCCGCCGTTGATCAGGGACCTAGCCTTGACGATCCTGACGTAGAGGTACTCCATCTTCTCGACAAGATCGTACTTGGACCGTTCGATTTGGACGGAGAAATCCTCCGGAAAATCGCTCACATACTCTTCCAGGGACGTTGGCCGGAAAACCACTGATGGGGGGGGGGCTGCGGTTTTCGGCGGTTGTGTGGGGAGGCCGGGTTCAGGCGTGGGAGGTGGCAGTGCGGGCTCGGGCTCGGGCTCGGGCTCGGAGGGTGGGGGGATAGGCACGGCCAGGGGAGGAGGGTTTTCTGATGGAAGCGGGGCATTTTCCGGCGGTGGTGGAGCTGTTTCAGGCGGTTTTGGCGCCTCATCCGGTGGCTTCGGCCCTTCTTCCGATGGTTTTGGAACCTCATCAGGTGGCTTTGGAGCTTCTTCAGGTAGTTTTGGGCCGTCATCTGGTGGTTTGGGACCCTCTTCTGGTGGTTTCGGGGCTCCCTCGTCGTCGGGCTGTCTGGGTGCCTCTTCAGGAGGTTTTGCCTCTGTTTCAGGCGGTTTAGCCACCCCTTCATGCGACTTCTGGTTTTCCGGCAATGGCTCCGGCGCATTCTGGTTCTCTGGGGGTGTTTCTGGCACATCCATGTTGTATATCTTAAGCCCTATCTCGCCTTGAACCCAGCTAAAAAAGCTCTTCTTCTCCAATGGAAAGTAAATGAGCGCGTCCTCCCCTTTCCTGACGAATTGGTCGGCACTGACTCGCACACGGCCGAGGAAATGGTTCCGGCGAGCTGGATTATAATTGCTTCCCTGCGCGACTCGGCGGTCATGGAAGACATCGATCTCGAGGGTTTCAGTGGGGGGCGGGTTCGGGTTGGAAACATTGAATTGAAGGGTTTCGTTCCATGCTGGGTTGAGGTCGCGGTGCACAGTGCGGGTGCGCTTGCGCTGGCCATCGAAGTCGAGGACGGCATATGGGCTCGATGTGCCGGTTCCGTCCTTCGGGAGGAGGCCATGCGCGTCCGCCACCTCCACTATCAGCTTCCTGGTGGTCACCTCCATGAGTTGTCTCTCTCTATAACTCTCACCGACTAGAAATTTCACTCTCTCCACCACCTCTACCGCTGACTCTCTCTCTCTCTCTCTCTCTAGTATCTAGTTGAGTTCACTGTAAATTTTTTGTCCACTGGTTTCCTCCCATTGTATCCAGTTTGCCTCCCATTCTCCATGTCTCCTGTCTTTCTCTCTCTAAAATTCTTTTCTTTCTCTCTCTAATTTGGGCGAGGTTTTTGATGCAAAACCAGATCACAAGGAACCACACGAATGTTAAAGAGATCGAAGAAAGGCAAATGTGAAATAGAACAGGAGGAGAGGAAGATGCAACAATTTAAAGGGTGCAAAAGCAATAATAGAGGGAGAGGGGCATACGTAAAGATTGGTCCCAACGGTCGAGATTCGTCATGGGAAATCCAAGGGTCGATGTGCCATGCATGAGGAATATGAGGTTTGATCATGACCGTCCCTTGAAAGGCTTATCGCTGAAGAATGTCGGTGCAGGGTGTAAGAAAATGGACGGGTTTTTGCCGGGTTAGTGGATTGCACCGTGGAAAGGGCTCACTAAAGTTTTCCCAAACCTCAAGAAATCATACATAACACAGAAAGACAGTGAAGTTTTCCCAAAACTCACGAAATCATATATATATATATATATATATAGAAGCTCACGGAATCACAAAAGGAGGAGAGAGAGTGGGGAATATAAACTGCAGTTTTTGCTTCCAAGAGAGAGAGAGAGAACTTGGAGTTCTTGCTTTCAAGTAGGGACAAGACCCGACCTCGGTCCACTAAAGGTTCAAAATTTGGCCTGGAATACTATCCGGGTCTGCCAATAAATTTGTTTTTTAGAAATTTATAGTTATCAAGTAAAACAGCAAGGAATGTGGCTATTCATTAATGTCGTACAATATTGTAAGTATTGCCAATAATATCAATATATGATGGAAAAAAGAAGGTATAAAAAAAAAAAATTCATAGTTATGGGGTGGCAATAGACCCGACCAAACCTGAGACCGGACGGGTAGACCAAGGACTTGACGGCTGTCCAATTTTTTGACCTAAAAAAGTCGGGTCCAAATTCAAAATCTAGATCCAAATACTATTTAGGTTCGAAGGCAACCCGAACTCGACCCTTTGCCACCTCTACTTACAAGAGAGAGAGACTTCGATAGAGAGAGGTTGGGTTTTTTTTCTCTAGAGATTGAGAAATTGGGGTTGTTGCTTATTTTTGGATGTGAGAGAGAGAGAAATGGGATGATGCTTTGAAGGTCCTTGCCTTGATGAGAGAGAGAGAGAGATGGGTGTTGTTGCCTTAAAGAAGAAGGCATGTTGTGAAAACTTGGGGAGTCGTCGTAGTATTTTATTATTTGGGAGGGAGATTCTTCTTTCAAAAAGGGCGTCTTGCTTTAGTGGAGAATGGGTCTATTTTGCACCTCCCTTTCTTTTCCTTTTCGAGTTTTCTGTTTTTGCCTTCCTTTACTTTTTATCTTGACTTTTTTTATTGGCCAAGATTTGGTAATAGGACAAACTGATTGCACGTTAACTAAGACCCATGCGGAATGTAGGTGATAGAGAGAGAGATATTCATGTGAGTTTGAGAGAGAGAGAGAGAGGAGAGACATTCACGTGTGTGTGTGAGAGAGAGATGAGATATTATGTGAGTGTGCTTCTCGTAAATTCTCTGGTTCTATAATCTATACACCAAGATTTAGAGAGAATGTATGTTATTGTGTATATTAGAGAGATAGAGAGAGTGATAATGTGTTGTGCAGGATAATTTTTTGAACATTTGTAAAAGGACATTTGTTTCTTCGGGCTGGGCCGCATTTCTATAATATAAAGTCCAAAGATATAAAACATCCATCTTAAAGATGGATGCAAATAAGTGGCCCATCTGAAACAATTGTAACTAAAGTCCAAATGTTTTTTTAATTTAATTATTATTTGTAATTACTATTTTTTTTTCAATTCATGATCTCTATGTTAAAAATTATATATCTTTTAAAAATTAAGATCAATTATATTTAAAAAGTATATTTATTGCCAAGCCCGTATTACTACAATATGCAGGCTGGCCGCATAGAAACCGTGTCTTTTGTGAAATGCACACACTCTATTTCTCAAGTCAAAAAACCCAGCTCTCATTTCTCTCTTTTCAAAGCAATAACACTATCTCTTCAAGGCAAGAGCTCCAATCCCCCCTGTCATCGTTCATAAAAGCTTCTTCTCATCTTTTGGCTTTTATCACAGGGCAAGCTTTTTATGCTTTCTCTCATAATAAAACTTACTAAAAATGTTTTGGTAGGCTTTTGTTTTAAGTTTTTTTCTTTATAGACTTAAAGTCTCAAAATATATCTTGGTTTTATATCTTTTAAGCCTCTAGTCCAATTTTATCCATTTTTATCTTATACTTTTTTTGTAAATAAATTTAAAAAATATATATTTTTTTAAACTCTCTCTCACCACATGTTTCATTCTCTCCCCGTATATCTCCCAAGCCCTCTCTCTCCATACTTCCCCAACTCTCTCTTTCTCTCTTCTCCTCTCCCTATGCTCAAACTTCACCAAATCCCTCTATTTCCATTTTTGCCCATCCTCTCTCTCCCCATGCTTTCCCAAATGCTTCTCTCTCTTGTGCTTCCCCATATACATATATATATATATATATTTTCCCGTTGTTTCTCTCTCGCGCTTCCCCAATCCTTCTCTCTCTCCATTCTCCCATCTTCTCTCTCTCGTGCTTTCCCAAATCCCCCTCTCTCTCCATTTTTTCCATCCTCTCCCCCTCTCTCTCTCTCTAAATCACAATCTCTCTTTCATCCCAAATCAAAGTCTCTCGCTCTCACCCAAATAAGTGGTTGTAGCGGCCCCGAGTAAAAGGAGCAGAAACAGGATAAATTTTTTGAAAAAGTTCGGTATAAAGAGATCATGTGGTGAAACTTTGGATAATTATTAATGCAGATGTTGAGATTACTATGAGTTATGAAAAAAGGGAGTTATAAAAAAAGTTCCAGTGCTTGCTCATTTGATTACAAAAAACCAGAAGAGATAGAAGAACTAGACCAAGGAGAAGTTTGGGATTCCATTGAATTTCCCAGTGCTGATGCAGGATCAAAAGCAAGAGCTTGAGCATCTCATGCTCTTTGCAATTGTTCTGGTTGGGCATATTGGTGGCCGATTCATGGCATTGGTTTTACTGTGTTCTTCTATTTGCTCTTGAAATTTCCTAGGACATTGTCTATGTATTGGCAAAATCATTAGAATCTTCACTTTGTGGAAATGGATTGAGTTTTATGAGATGGGTTTATTCCAACTTATCAATAGGCAAGAGAGAATTGGGAAAGAGAAAATCATAAATGGATCTGATCACATAGAATTTGGATGCTTATGAATGAACATAACAATTGTGGCTTACTTACTCATAAACCTCGTTGTTTGAGATGGGCAAATAAAAGCTTTAAGTTGCTATGATTTGGGTTGAGAGAGAGAGAGAGATTGTGATTTAGAGAGAATGATTTGGGGTGAGAGAGAGAGATTGTGATTTAAAGAGGATGGGAAAATGGAGAGAGAGGGATTTAAGGGAACATAGGAGATAGAGAGATTCGAGGAAGCACGGGGAAAGAGAGATGGATTTAGGGAATCACAAGAGAGAGGATGGGAAAAAGGAAGGAAGAGATTTGGGGAAGCACGAGGAGAGAGCAAAAGGATGGGAAAAACTTGAAAAAGCACAGGAGAGAGGGAGGATGGAGAAAAAAAAAAAAAGGAGAGAGAGAGGATGGGAAGCGAGAGAGGAAGTGATTTGGGAGATTTATAGGGAGAGAGAAAGTGAAACACTTGAGACAGAAGGGGTTAGAAAAAGATATCTTTTTAAATTTGTTGGGGTTAAAAGGTGGCATAAAACTAGATAAAATTGATTAGGGGTTAGAAGATAGGTTTTGAAAGTTTGCCCCAATTAAAATGTCGTGTATATACACTATTTTATTTTTAATTTTTTTCTATAAATTATTTTGACACCAAATTTTAGACATCTAATCCTCTATTAAACTCGCACTATCGAACACATATTACAATTAAAAAATGACCAAAATACTTCTAAAGAATTCAACAGTTATTTTGGTCATTATATTTTATCGAAAAATCATTTTTAATATTTTTTATAGGTGCGCCCCAATGAGAAGATAGTTGGTACCAAATTTCATATTCATACAATTTTCATAAAAAAAAACTAAAAATAAAATAATTTGAGACATCAGATCTATGATCAAATGGTGAGTGACTCTCTTGATCAAAATTGGACGGCTGGATAATAGGGGAAGCATATATCTTCTATGCTATAGGGGGAGTATAGAAACCTTTCCCTTATTATATTGCAAACTTCTTTGGATTTGGTTTGCATAAGGTGTCAATAGTGAGGCGCACATCTAAATCCAGCTGAAAAATGTAGATTTAGTATTGTAAACCTTTATGATGGTCCAAAAATATTGTGAAAGTTAGAGCATATAAAATAGTGTAGAACTGTAGATTGAGAAGTTCGATAAATATTTACAAATTTAAAAAACAAAAGGTCGTCAAAATGTGTTTGCTTGATATGGAAAATAATTGAAAAGAGATATTCTTATTTTCCGGTACATCATTGCATTATCTCATTACAATAAGTGCTACATATTAATATAAGCAAAGTGCATAAAATTCTCTGTACATATTTGCCCTCGAGATCCCAGAGATATGAAGATTGACCACTCATCTTCCATATTCAATGCACAGAAATAACAATAACTCAATACACCAGAGTCACTTTCTTCTATAGAGAGAAAATAAGTGAGAAAGAGTTACAATGTTGAATCCACGGAAATAACATGATCTCAATGCACCAAAATTGCCTTTGTTAGTAAGCAAGAAGAGATAAATGGTAAAGTAGAAATCTATATGTAGAATGAAAGACTTTGGTCCTCTTATAGGGAGTGAAACTTCCCTTTCCAAACAGAGTTGCAGATGTTCATTTCATTCGGTTTTGAACCCGCACCTTACTTGGGTTTTTAGCAATCATGGTTGTTCATCAATTACAACTTATATATAATTGGATTGTCAACGGTCACAACAGTTCCAAATCAAGTTTAATGGATGTTGTACTCGGTCTGTGTCGTATTGCGACATGCTCGTATAGCTTTTCAAACCCGCCGCATCAAGTGTTAGCCGACATCACAACTCGGCAAATGATGCTGCTCATGTTGCTAACTTGCTCTGCAATATGGTTTGCGAAGAAAGAATGCCAAAATATGAGCTCTGCAGTAAGAAAGAATGCCAAAATATGAACCCGACACACCTGTGCATAAGAACCTCTAGGCTAAAGCAAGCACGTGAAGTGTAAAATGTGCTACAGATACTGTTGCGTTCCGTCCTCTTATGGATTCCAAAGCTTAATTCCAATCAATTACGCATTCCCTCTAAGAAGAGACAACCTACCCATGAAGTGTATACCCCTGGTTTGCATCCTTAGAGAAACCAAGAGTGTAATTAAATTTAATTTTCATGTAATTTGCACTGTCTCAATTTTGTGAGAAAGGACATGCATACATTTATAAAATTTTTTACCCAAGAGCACGTGTACTATGCTTTCTCGGGAGCATAGCTTATTTCTACTCCCTCGGTCAAATAACGTATTTGGGAGGATTTTTTCGATCTGATATTTTGGTAACCACCTTAGAATCACTAGATGATTGTTTTTTCAGAAAAACAAAATAAAAATTTGAGTTTTCTAACACTTAGATTTGCAACTTTTAAAAATTAGGTAGTTTTTATTCAATCTTAAGGCATTATTTTCAACGGCTTAGAGGGTGGAATTAGGATTCAAACATAGGGAATGGTTTCTAATGAGAAAATCACGATCTGGGTTTGGAACTAAGAAATCCCATTGTTCAGATCATGACGTGAGAATACTATGAAAGACGAGAGAGTAACTATGCCCAAAACAAACTCTTCCCTAATACCAAGGTTTCAAAAAAACGCTAGGCGGCTCTTAGGCGACTGCCCGGCGCCCAGCGCCTAGGTGGGTGCCACGTTCTTTTAAATAAACGAAAAACACCTTACGGCCCTGGCCGCCCGCATAGGGGCCCGCTTCGGCGCCTGCCTAGCCCGCCTCGGAGCTCGCCTAGCCTGCCTGGGCGCCCACCCAAATACATCTGTCTGGGTGCCCGCCTAACTCGCCTGGGCTCCAGCCTGGGGACCCAGGTCCTTCTTCTCCTCCTCCTACTCCCTCTTCCTCCTTTTCTCGTCATGGGGAACCAACTTTTTTTTTTGACAATCAAAAGTAAGTTTAAAGTTAGATGGTTTTATGGGAAATTTAACTTCTTGTATTATCATTCTTTCTGGTTTCTTAGGTACTACAGAGAGGAGTCTCTCTCTTTCTAGTGACTCCAACGATAAAAATACGGCTAGAGGAATAAGCAAAGATGACCTCTCCTATTTCTCTCTTAGGAACAATCAGAAAGAAGTGGTATACCATTCTTCCATTACCACTCTAATATTTAAAGGTTTCCATACTTCCCCCATGTAAAATAAAATAAAATATATGTTTCCCCTCTCATGTGGCCCTCCGATTTTAATCTAGATCATCATTTGATCTAGATCTGACGTCTTATAGTATTTTATTTTAAATTTTTTTAATAGAAATTGTATGAATGTGAAATTTGATACTTGTCATTTTATCATTGAAGCGCACCTAAAAAAATATTAAAATAGTTTTTTGGATAAAATATAAAGGCAAGCTTTCTATGCTTCCCCTACAGCATAAAACTTATAAACTTCCACTTATCCAACCATCCATTCTGAATGAAGGGCTAAGATTGCCCCTATCACAATGTCACATCTATAGACTATTTTATTTTTAATTTTTTTCTATAAACTATTTTGACACCAAATTTTGGATGTCTGATCCTCTATTAAACTCACCCTATCGAAAAATATAAAAAAAATATTTTTAATAAAATAAAATGACCAAAGTACCCCAGAAAGATTCAAAGGGTATTTTGGTCATTATATTTTATCGAAAAATTATTTTTAATATTTTTTATAGGCGTTCCCAATGAGAAGATAGCGCGTCCAAAATTTCATATTCATAAAATTTGAATAAAAAAAACTGAACATAAAATACTTTGAGATGTCGGATCTATGATCAAACAGTGAGTGAGTCTCTTGATCAATATTGGACAGCCGGATAGTAAGAGAAGCATAGATCTTCTATGATGTAGGGGACTATAGAAACCTTTCCCTTTATTATATTGCAAACTTTTTGGCTTTGGTTTGTATAAGGTATCCATAGTGAGGCGCACATCTAAATCCCGCTGAAAAATGTAGATTTAGTACTGTAAACCTTTATGATGGTCCTAAAATATATTTGAACCCTAAATTGTGAAATTTAGAGCATAAAACATAGTGTAGATCGAGAAGTTCTATAAATATTTACAAATTTAAAAAAACAGAAGGTAATCAAAATTTTGTTTGCTTGATATGGAAAATAATTGAAGAGAGATATTCAGTACATCAATGCATTATCTCATTATAATAAGTGCCACATATTAATATACTAAGTGTGCATAAAATTATCTGTACATATTTGTCCTCGGGATCCCTGAGATATAAAGATTGACCGCTCATCTTCCATATTCAATGCACAGAAATAACAAGAACTCAATACACCGGAGTCACTTTCTTCTAGAGAGAGACAATAAGTGAAAGAGAGTTACAATGTTCAATCCAATGAAAAAACATGATCTCAATGCACCAAAATTGCCTTTGTTTTCAAGAGATAAAGTAAGTAAGAAAAGATAATGGTAAAATATAAATCTATTTGTAGAATTAAAGACTTTGGTCCTCTTATAGAGAGTGAAACTTCCCTTTCGAAACAGAGTTACAGTTGTTCATTTCAAGCGATTTTAAGCCAGCACCTCACTTGATTTTTTAGCAATCATAGTTGTTCATCAGTTACAACTTATATATAATTGGATTGTCAACGGTTACAACCGTTCAAAATCAAGTTTAATGGATGTTGTGCTCGGTCTGTGTCGTATTGCGACATGCTCGCATAGCTTTTCAACCCACCGCGTCAAGTGTTAGCCGGCATCACAACTTGGCAAACGATGCTGCTGATGTTCCTAACTTGCTCTGCAATATGGTTTGCGAAGAAAAAAACACCAAATATGTACCCGACGTACCTATGCATAGGAACCTCTACGCTAAAGCAAGCATGTGAAGTGTAAAATGTGCCACAGACACTGTTACACTCCGTCTTTTATGGATTCCAAAGCTTAATTCCAAGAAATTACTCATTCCCTCTAGCAAGAGACCACCTACCCATGAAGTGTACACCCTTGGTTTGCATTCTTAGAGAAACCAAGAGTGTAATTAAATTTAATTTTCATGTAATATCTACTCCCTCCGTCAAATAACCTACTTGGGAGGATTTTTTCAATCTGAAACTTTGGTAACCACCTTAGAATCACTAAATGATTGTTTTCCAAAAAAAATAATAATAATAATAAAAATTTGAATTTTCTAATACTTAGATCACACCCTTTAAAAATTAGGTCGGTTTTTATTCAATCTGACGACATTATTTCTTTCAACTAATTAGATGGTGGTATTAAGATTCAAATATAGGGAAAGGTAATGAGAAAAACATGATATGGGATTGGAACTTACAAGATGAATGGGCAACTTTGTCATTTGGCTCCCGCATACGCAAAAAAAATTGGGCAATTGAGGTAACTGACTGTGCTTGTTCTTTATCCTAATGAGGTTTTAATAAATAAATAATTTTTAATTTGTAACTCAAAATAAGCAGAGATACTTACCATCGACTCCACCAACTTAAATGACACGAACTTACCCAGAAAACTAGCTTGTCCAATTCTTGAACCGGGACTTCTGGTGTATTTTTAACAAAATAGTCAACAGCACTTTTTTAATGTTGGTTGGTTTTGTAACATATTTTCTCTTCTAGAAATGAGAAATACATGAGTAGCTTTTATATATATATATATATATATATATAGAAATGTTTACCATGCACCAAAGTTGTGAGGTATGTCCTCACAACTTTGGGAACATGCCCCCCTATTCACTGTTTAAGTTTAATCAGCGTTAGGATTCCTATCTTATTGTATCGCAAATAGGCACATATTGTCCTACAACTTATGTTTTAATTTAAGGATGCAACGTTTGGTGTGATCCATTGAACAAATGAGTGGGTACGTATTAAGAGTATCAGGGACTGGGTAATTTTGATCTGGATCTATATTTTTAAAACATTGAAAAAACACAATAAAAAAAGTATATTGGAGAACCATGTAGCACATAAAACAATAGTAAGAGCAATTTACATAGACACAAAATAAATAATACAAAATCGGTCAATTTTGGCCAAAGTTACGGTAAAGGTCATTTATTATAGAGCTTTTTAATTTTTCCCATAATGCCCATCGCTGGCCTGCGGATAACTCGTTTTATTTTTTATTTTTTTATTGTCTGGGTTGTGTCCTATGTTTTGGGACCGTTGGCAACTGCTATGAGGTTCTTATCCTCAAACCGCCCAAATTGTAGTATTACGCCACATTACTGGCAGTCCAAGGTCCCTATCCTTAAACTGCCCAGATATTAAACCGTATTACAGGTGGTCCTTAAACTGCCCAGATTGTAATATTACACCATATTACAAGCGGTCTAAGATCTTCTTCCAGAGATTGCTTATAATGTTGGCTAACACCTCAATATAGGCAGTTTGAGGATGGGAACCTCGGACCACTAATGAATTGAAGTCGTCTGAGATCTTATACTCAAACCACCTATAATGTGGTGTACACTACAATCTAGGTAGTCCAATAATGGAGACCTCAAACCGTTCATCAACCGTCTTAAAATATAGGATATATCCCAGACAATTAAAAAAGCTTAAAAAAAAAATTTAAAACCGGTCTAGGGATGGTAATTTGTACCGTACCTTGACCGAGAAAAATTAGAAAAAAACCTCTCCAGTAAGCAACCTTTATTGTAAATTGACCATTTTGCAATTTACTTATTTATATTTTGTTCGTATGTAAATTACTCTAATAGTACATAAAGGGCATATATATGGAGTCAATTTTAATGATCTGCCCATGACCAAATTGATGGATGGTAGAGATGGGATAAGATACCGTTTCAGTGCACCTGTAGGAGGATCAAAAGTTCTCTTTCTTTTATTCAAAATACACAACTCTCTGCGCGGATGCAATGTTTGTGAGCACCACCGCCACTACCTCCACACACACACCAGACAGAGAAAGACGGGTTTGAGAATTTTTCCATCACATGCACACACCAATACACAAACCAGAGAGAGAGAGAGTCCCTTTCTTGAATTCTGAAATTCAAAACTGTAAACATGGCCCTTCCCTAAACTTAGATTATGCTATCTTCAACTTCTCATTTCTTCCCATATTCTAACGAGCTGTCTTCTTTAATCTCCACCGTCCATCATTCAAAACAGATGGTAGATGCAACTGTGGTGTATAATTATCGTAAACACATTTTTGTGCGTTATACTTTTCTAAAGTTTACCATGTCGATGATGTTCCTACACATGCAAAAATCTTACCAACATTTGTCTTCGATGTTGTATAGTCTTTGCATACGTGTGTTCCAACAAACTGGCATATGTTCTTGCATGCTAATTAGGTGAAAAAATAAAAATGAGAAAATGATAAAAATGAGGAAAAAAAATCAAATATTTAACATTTTACTTATTTTTAAAAGGGCATACTTATACTGTTTGTATAAGGTGCCCAACTTGTACTATATAAGTAAGGCCTACCTAATTTTTGTCAAAAAAATGTAATTTCAACGTGAGAAACTTTATGGTAGCTTAAAAATCCATATTTAACTCTAATCATGAAATTTACAATTCTAAAATGATGTAGATTGAGTAGATCTATAAACACTTTAAAATTTTGAAAATCAACCACCTAGATAACTTATCACAAGATGAATATATTTTATGACTTAAAATTCTTTTGTTCTTTTTTTTATTTATTTAAATATTATGCAGCTCAGAGATCAAGATGGTCAATAGGAAAGTTTTTCAACTTTAGAACTCTTTTCTACTGGCATTTTTAGGTGCACTTTACTTCCACGGTTTAAGGACGTTAACTTATATGAACTTTTTTTTTGTTCATATAAGATGAATATCATACTTATAGAAGTAAGGTTGCGGTGTTTTACACATGCATTATAGCTTAATAGTATAAATTTGACCTCTCTTTTCGGGCGGTATGAACAATTTGACATGTCTGACTTAAGACATGCCAAATCTACGTAAATCAATTAAATTTGTCACCGTATGTAAACCTTTTTCTTCATCAAAACACATTTAAATAATCAACAATCCTAATTCATAATTTTGTGTTCTTTGGTGGGATTTTTGACATCAAATCTAAAGAAACGAGTAAGATGTTAAAAAATTCATCTCTTGGGTGCTTTTTGATAAAATTTTGCTGAAATTTTGATGCTTCCGAAAAGTACATGAAAACAGAAGAGAGAAGAGAAGTTGGTCATGAGAAGGGAAAAAAAAAAGAAGCTCATTTTTAGGGTCTTCTGTGCACCATCCCTTTAGATATAATGAAGTGAACCTGTGAAGGAGGCAAACTAACGTAACTCTACAAAGTGGGACAATTAAAATAGACAAATTAGTTATGAAGTTTATTTTAACTCCCAAAATAATCACGGTAGAATGATGGGAATGATAATAATGCATATAACAAAATCTGTGTGTGTTTCAATTCACAAATTATCATTCTTCAAGTTTCGTTAGAAGTCGATTGATCAATGGCATTCACTTATCTACTTTTTAGTTATATCTGGAGATGATTTCTTGAGAGTTTTCTAAAATTATACTTTTATGAAAAAAGCATCCATAATTGTTTGGAGTGAAAAGACTGAAAGAGAAAATATTCAAAATCAGTAGTTTCCAAAACAGATGAAACAAAAGAAACAAGTTGAAATATCACTTATAATTTGACATTTTTACCATCATTTCAGTTATAAACCATAAACATATAACCCTTTTTTTTTCCTCAACTGATATTTATATTTGAGAATCAATTTAATTCATAAACAAATATGTCAAAAGGTTTAAGTGTTATGCATCTTGTTTAAAGGGAAAGCACAGTCATATTGGTGAAGGAAACTTAAGTTCCATTTTAAAGTAAGAATTTTTGTTAAAAATGAATCAAAACTGTTTTGAGTCACCTGATCATCTAGATCTCTAGTGATTGAAGGGCATCCTTGATCTACAGCACCGAACAAAACTTACTCGGTATGGCAGCATTTGAGTGCAATATTTAGTTAATAACTCTGGTAGATTTAGTACAGCAATATTAGCAGTCAAAATAAGCAATATCCTAGATGAAATTTCGGTAAAATAAGTTTTGGCTTGGTGTGCACATTTTTGGAAGAAGGCTGAGTAGTTAACAAGTACTAAAGTGAAAGGTTAAAAAAGTTATCCCATAGGGTACACAAAAAGTTAAGACACTAGATTATCCATAGGAAAAACAGAAAACTCCCGACTGCTGAAGAATATGAACTTGCTATGAGGAAAAGGATATGCCTTGAAAGAATCAAGTGATCCAAATCCATGATGAGCAAGGTGAAGATTAGGTTTTGGCGATTAACATGTTGAAAAGCTTTAATTCATTTATTGGTTGATATTGAAGAACTAGAAAAGTGGAGAAATTTTCATAAAAGTATTTCCTTTCCAAGATTTTATTTCTTGAGAGATGCATGCAATCCGACCAAATAGATTTCTACTGAAACCACAACTTTAGCATAAATTGACAGTTAAGGGAGAAGAGTTGAAAGAAAAATGACATAAAGGTTATATCATGGTCCTAAGGAATCTGGTGATGATCATAGTTGCAATGATGGGCATTATGATGACCATGGGATTCACATCATCATCACCATCCATCATCATTAAATAATTATGGCAAAATCTTCATCAAAACAATGAAATGAGAATGAATGAGACGACAGAGATCTGAATGAAACAAAGGATTTAAATTTCATCCATTAACCATAATCTTAGACCCCAAAATGATGATTACACGACATTAATTTGGAAAATTCTGCATCTCAACAATCAACAAGAGAGTAAAAAGATATCGATCTAAATGAAACAAACGATTTAGAGTTGATCGATGACCACAATCTTAAACCCCATAATAGTGGTTATCATGGTTCTTAATTAATTTATAGATATATTTCCAATATTCTTGAAACCATTTTCAAGTCAATTATCAAAATAAATGAAAGTAGTTCACATACCAGAAAGAGGCTATTCTTGAGAGAGGAAAAGCCCAAAATCTCAGAGGCTTGATGGAAGAAAATGGGGTTTCAATTTATTGTGGAAAACCAGTGTGGGGAATGAAGCCTGGTCCGAGATCTATTCATAGAAGAGGGTTTGCCAACATGCAAAGGTGCAAGTTCACATGATCCACATATGGAAAGAGATCTTGGATCAAACCTCATTCCACACAAAGGTTTTCCCCCCATAACTATCACTCTCTCTCTCTCTCTCTCTCTCTCTCTACGTGGAGTACTT